AGTGAGAGTTTGGCGCAGGAGTGATGCCGAGTCCCTCCTCGAGACGTGGCAAGTCTACGCCATAATCACTGAGGGCATTGTCTAAATTTTACTCTTGATATGTGAGTAATAATTATTGCCATTTCATATGACTTCCATTGACCTATTCATCGAACTTGGTCTTGTTTTATATGTAAATTATTCACTAATATTTTCCTTTCAGAATCTCTTCGTGATTCACATCTTTCCTCCATGTGAATTCTCGTTCGGTCAGCTGAAGTCCTTCTCATCACCACTCTATGCCCATTTGACACAGAACTCTACTCCTCACCTTCTGATTGTAATCACTACCGTGTAGAGTATTTTATTTTTGTCCATAGGGCTAGAATTTAATGGGATACAGCCGTGTCCTTTTCTCGTCCGACTGATGTGTATAGTGTTGAACCGCTTAGGCGTGTACATAATTTGTCCAAATCACCAACATTCTACGCACTAGTTTTGCCTTTGTATTTTGAATTCTGGGACTACTTTTTGTGGGCCATGCCAAGCGGTCACCTTCGATCCCCTCTTCATTTGGGCCATTCCAATCAACCCAGTCATCCACACTGGCCATCTTTTGCATCCGTGCGACTGCCCTCCGTCGCAGGCTGCCCTTGTCCATCAGTCATCCAATCGCTTGGGGCGAGACAAATCTACAGCCTGACTGAGGGACCAAGTTACCTTGCTAGCAGGCGGATAAACTGTCAGACGCTCGCGGCCCGCGCATGGCGTCGGGTACGTCTGGCATAGAGCATTCAGCTGGTCGATATCCGTCTCTACTTTGGCAGACAGCGCTGTTTGATTGGCTACTGCACAAGCTATCGACCGGAGACGCTTTCAATCGACCCAACGGGTGGTGCGAGGACAGGCGGATTTGTACCAGGCGATATACACAAGCGAATCTGATCGGCTTCGTCACTGGCTTCCTTCAGCCATATTCCCTCGTCCATGCGCAGTCGCTCTATCACCTTGGCGGTCATATCGCAGGAGTTGAATAGCCGTAATTGCAGGCCTGCCTATTTCGCCCTCTGATTAAGTTCATTTCTCTATCCAGAGCGGACTAGTTGAAATGAGGTTTTCGTGGATTTGTTCAAATGCTATTTGGGATTCCTTAGAAGTGTGAGCTACCCTCGCCGGCTTCCACCGTCTTTTTAACCGCCAGCTGAAAAACTGAGGCTTGAGCGGATGCGCACGCTTCAGTTTATATGCCCTTAGAGTAATCGCATCACGGCTTATGTTACGTATACGCCTTTTCGATGTGAAATGGGCGAAATGTGCAAACGTTTTTGCGTATTATCATGATTATCTACTAGTCTACAGGTTTTAATTACATTCACCTGCCTTGTACAGTGTATATATTATTAGGAGGCTTGCATACGTTTGTTCGTGAAAAGGACGTGTACATAGTTATTGAAACTTTGGGTATGTTTTCAAAAAATATATCATTGATCTCGATTTACTCATTTTTGTACCTTTCTTTGGGGACGCGTTTTCTCGCTTGCACGGGGGTATTATCTTTAAAAATAGTCTAAAATAATCTTACTACTTTCAAGTAACGATGTATTTATCTACAACTAGTTAGATTGCTTGGATTACTTGCCGAGTGTTGCTGCGCCAATTCGCTGATTCTAGTCCTT